TCGTGTAGGAGTCCAGCAACATACCTGCTGCACTGTCTGCTGCCCCCACTTCCTATATAATTTAAATGATTCCATAACATTTTGTCTTAATCTGCCTGGGCTGCCAGGACAAAATATCTTAAACTGGATGCCTTAAACAAGAATGTTCTTCTTGGTTTTAAAAGCTGGAAAGTATACGGCCATCGTCTGACCGATGTGGATTGTGGCGAGGACTCTCTCTCCCTCTGTGCCCGCACACAGGGAGACAGTGTCCATGCTCTGGTGTTTCTTGGTAAGGACATGAATCTGTCAGATTAGAGCCCTTCGGATCAAGCCCCAGCTGTACGATGGGTTTATGTAGCCTTTTTACTTCCTTCCTGTAAGTACAGCCACCTTGGGGTTAAGGCTTCGATGGGTGAATGGGGGCGAGAGGGCAGGAACACTCAGCCCATAACACATTTATACGAAGAGCAAATGTTCTCAACCCAGTCTAGAAGATATCTAACTTAGAAAATCAGATGCAAAAATTATTCCATTAAGTAGTAGCAAATTAACTCTAGTATTACGATAAAGGATTAATGCAAGTAGGATTTATCTCAGGAATAAAATGATTGCTCTATATTAAGCAACGTACAACTCTAGACTGTGATGAAATTATGCATTGTATTTCTCTTAAATAGAAAGTTCCTTAATCCTTATACGGTAGCAGGTATAAGAGTTCATAGACAAACAGGGGAAATAAAGGCTTTCCTTGGCCCTGGCCCCGGTTGTTCAAGGTGAGTGTCCACAGTGCCTTTTGCTTCACTGAAGACTTTTGTTCCTCCCATCAAAACACTTCATTTCTGCTGCCATTACTTCTGGGTAAATGCTTTAATCTGCTATCAGCACTTGGGAGTTATTGTTCCCCTTAAATGCTTAAATTGCACTTATTACATATAGATGATGTATTTGGTAGGTTGGCATATTAGCTATTAATCAAGAACCTGCAATTTCTAATATTTCTTTTTTAAAAAAGATAAAGGGCAGTTAATTGCTGATAAAATAACCTAGCAACAAATCATTTTACCTGGGATTTAATTTAGATTTCAGAATTAAAATGCAATTTGCTGTTATATAGGAAATGTCAATTTTAAGGTGATTCAAATTTCCTCTATATGAAAAAAAAAAAATCCTTGCTTTTTTTTTTTTTTTTTTTAGGTTTTTACCATAGGGTGCACATGTTTTCCCGAAGAGAAAGAAAGAAAAACCAAGACAGGGAAAGTAGGAAATTACCCCCTCAGGGGGATGGTCACACCATAATCCCTTCTTCTCCATCCTTCTCTCAGGATTTTAGGGATGTCCACTCATGCACATGCACACACACCCAAGATGATTTTCAAGTTGCCAGGTCCATGACTAGAACAGTGGTCAACCATGTGGTAGTCCAGTGCTTTAATCATCATGCCACCTACTGGCTTCACCACCCATTCTTTTCAAGTGTCTTAGGATTGTCTTCATTTTACATACACAAGGAAGCTGAAATGTATTGAGGTTGATAACTTTTCTAAGATCATGTCTAATAAATCCCGGATTTTAGAGATCTTCCTCTAAAGCCTACTCATTTCTCAAGAGGGAGACAAAAATTAGTCATTATAACTGGGTGTTGGGAGAAAGGACTCCATTTTCAAATAGATTTTGAAAATTCTGGGATACATAGTTCAAAGCACTTCAAATGTGACAATAACCATTGTGACTCTCTAGGAGGTGGTCAGGTTTACAGCATTTACCATGCTCACAAAGACAGAACTTCCCCCTCTGTAACATTTACCAGGCTGAGTTTATAGAATACACCTTTCAGAACACTGACCTTGACAATGTCACCTTCCGAAAGAAAGAATGGGTTTTGAAAGTTTAAGGAAGAAAATACATACAGGAGACCATAATGAAGAATAAGGCATTGTTATAAGCTAAGAGGAATTTTCTAGTGTATTTAAAAAGACATATAAGGACCAGAAGTTGGCATAATGGCTATGTTGCTGGATTCCCATGTAGTTGATTGCGGTTCAAGTCCCAGACCCAGTGGCTTAAACTCACACCGGGCATGTGTGCACGCATGCCCAAGATCTCGAGAGCAGAATGGAGGAGAAGAGACTGTGGCATGGCCATCCTCCCTGGGGGGTGATTTCTCACTTTCTGTCTCTCTGTCTCTCTCTGTCTTTCTGGCAAGCACACGCACACTATAACAAAAACCTCTCCTAAATAAATAAATAGACATATATAAAATATATTTAGGGTAGCAATTCTGAATACTACAAGTAATACAGAAAATTGAATGATCTTGGATAACGAGGTCAACGTTGCACTAAAACACTATATCAGCTATATATCTACTTTGTACTAAATACTTGTGTTCTTTCAAAATTTATATGTTGAAATTAGAATTAGGGAATGGGGCATTAGGTAGGTCATTATGTCATGAGAATGAAGCCCTTATTAATGGGATTAGTGCCTTTATAGAAAAGACTCAAAAGAGACTCTCAGCACTTCCACAGTCCAGGGGCACCATCTACATACTAGAAACGGGCCCTCAGCAGACTCCTTTTGTCAGCACCTTGAGCTTATTCCAAATGCCAGAACTGTGGAAAAGAATTTCTGTGTTTAAGCCACCAGGTCTATGTTGTTCAGTTACAGCAACCATAATTGCTTTTTTAAAGAGAGTTTTTGTTTGTTTGTTTGTTTGTCTGTTTGTTTTGCTATAGGGTGCATGCACTCACCAGAGGTACAGAGAGACAGAAAGCAAGAAATCACCCTCCATGGATGATGGTCACATTGCAATCCCTTCTCCTCCATTCTCCTCTCAGGATCTTGGGCACGCATACACATGTGCCTGATGTGAATTTTAAGCCACTGAGTCTGAGACTCAGACTACATGGGAGTCCAGCGACCTAACAGTCATGCCATCTGCTGGTCCCCATGACTGCATTTGGTATTGTTATGTTACTGAAAAAAATATGCATTTATAAAAAAAAAAATGCAGATTTGGAATTCAACAGATTTGTTCATATATCTGTTAATTCATCCACTCAATTCATCCACTCAAAAGCACCCACTACATTTTTTGCAATGTTCTAGAAAATACAGAGTAGGAGAATGAGCAAGACCGTTATGAGTCTTGCTTTCCTGAACATCACAATCTTCTAGGGAAGAACAACCTTTCACAAGTCATTACAGTTGTGTTGAGTATGTGAGAAAAACTCTCTATTGTTATGGGAGCATATGATAGACAGAACAGACTTTGTTTAAAGGCTCAGAGCACCTCAGTTTTATGATCTAGCTTTTATAATTTAGGGTGGGTTATATACATTTTATGATATTGAATTTCCTTATCTATAAATGAGATTAATATCTTATGGCTTTAATAATAACATCTAAATTAGCACTGTATGTTTAGCATTAATTTAGTCACATCATTCCATTACTAAAACACAAAGATTATTCTTGTACAAACGAACATACATGTGAAGCTTAAGAATCCATC